TGGGGAAGGAGGGGGCGAGGCAGAGATATGGAGGGAGAGCGTTTCAGAATTTTGGGGCGTCACGGCTGAAAGTGCGGCCACCGATGGTGGAACGAGGTTTACCAGGGACGAGCAGGAGGCCGGAGCCAGTCGACAGAGGCAACGGATAGTGGGTTGGGGAGTAAGCAGGTCAGAAAGGATGGGAGGTGCCAGGGCATAAAGGGATTTGAAGACAAGTGTGAGGATCTTGAAATCAGTGTCTCAAGTAGAGAAGAGGAGGAAACTAACAGGACATAATCCTCCAAACCTTCCCACACGGGGTTAAAAAAACCAAGGGTGTATTTTGGCAGCAAACGAGCAAGAAGCCGGTATTTACATGAGTGGATCATCAATATTGCGCCAAACAAATGTAAGGCGTGACATTATTCCTTGAAACAGAGGCATGATATCACCAAGGTTACACAGCGAGACTAACGTGAAAAATGATGACATTTGGGATGCTGGCGTGAGATAACACGAGTGTTACAATGAGATAGACGGAGAAAAGGAACTCAGTACATTGTAGGTCAGTTCCACCTCTCAATCGGGTGGTTTTCAGGTCCAGGTGGTTTTGAAGATTGTATTGTGGGCAAAGAGAGAGAGGAAACTTACAAGAACGAGACACTGAGATTCCTTTTTGTGATATTTTGCCTCCAACTTCGCTCATCTGAAAGTTTCGACTCATTGTGAGTCTCGTAGTCGAGCGATTAGAGCGTTCGCCTCGAAATCGAGAGGATCCGGGTTTCATTCCCGGACGGGGCTAAACCTTAGCCAAGTTGTCTTACTTCACACGCCTCTGTTTAGTAAGTAGGAACCCGGCTGTTAGACAACTGGCGGATAGCTTTCCACGGGGTATTAATCCCTTCAAAAAACAATCAATCAATTTACTTATTTCATCACTCAATCCATGACTGTTTGTGAGACGCTGCTGTCTGTAAAATTGGCTGCCGAGTTTCGCCCACAAAATACACAGTCAGTTGACACCATATCCTGTGAAGCGCTTTGAGGCATCTCAACAACGTGATAAGGCGCTATATCAAATGCAAGAATGATTATTATTGTGGTTTATTATCATTATCATCTTCGAATGGGCGCTGGCTTTACGAGACCGCAGTCGGCAGCTTTTCATTCCCGGTAAACAAATAATGAAAGGAAGATAAAGAGGTTGCAGGTGGGATGAATCCCACCTTAGAAGCTAAAACACCTCTTGAGGCCAGTTAAGATAATTGCTAATTTATTTGTGGCTTCAACTCTGCGCAGACGGCAAGTCACTTATCTCTTACGTCAAGAAAATCCATGGCAATAATTTTTTTTACGAAAGGAATAATAAGGAATGGTGGTGGTGGGAGTGGGGTGGGGGGGAATGAGTCCGATTTTGATGTGGTGGGGAAAGGGGATTGTTTGCTTATGTGACGACCTGCTCCAAGCAATCCTTATGTGTGTTGCCTTCTATAATGTAAAAGTCCTCCTGTATTTTTGCCCCTCACATGGACAGCCAGAGAGATGCTATCTCACCTTGCATTGGAGTGTAGTGGTTAGAGCATTCGCCTCGCAAACGGAATGACCCGGGTTGGTTTCCTGGGTGGGGTGAAACCTCAGGCAAGTTTCCTTAGTCCGCACGCCTCTAGTTACCCAGCAGTGAGTGGGAACCTGGTTTGTTAGTCATTTGGTGAGTCGCTTTCCATAATCCCTTGAATTTTTTTTAATATTAATAATAACCCACTCAACCCACAACTGTCTGTGGGACGCTGCTGTGCGCAATTGGCTGCCACGTTTCGCCCACAAAATATACAGTCAATTCACAGTGAATCCTGTGAAGCGCTTTGAGACGTCTCAACGACGTGATAAGGTGCGTCAAATGCAAGGATTATTATTAACATCATTAAATTGCCTCAAATTGGGATTTTGTTACCCCAGCACTGTATGGCCTTTGATCTCAGTTGAGAGAGAGAGCAGGGTTACGGAGTGGAAAAAGAATTGCAAAGGCTCTAGAGATTAAAGGCAAAGCATATAAACAAAACAAGACTTATTAACAGAAAAGGCATGCTCCAAAGGCCTCCGAGTCAACACTGCAAGTTGTAACTTGCCTCTCGTGAACGACCGAGTCCTGTGAACTCACAGGTGCCCATTAGGAGCCGCTCCTGGGTAATTAATTAAGCTGTAATGGACTCGTGAGCCTGCAGTCTAGTTAAACTGAGACTAGGCCAGGCGTCTGACCTCCGGCCTTGTTCATTAATCATCCTGACTGCTCTCACTCTGTGACTATTACTGTGAGCCTTCATTTTCAATAGTAACGTGTTATTTTTTCTACCTTCCTACTCCCTCACAATGGATTATAGAGTCTTTCCTTCCTCCCCAGTGCCCCCTGGTCAAACCCAGTGGGACTTCCTGTCACCATTACATTATTAATCTCGCCTCCATCCAAACAAGGTCCACGTTCCAGCCACTCATGTTACGAGACGGTGTAAACTGGTTCTGAATTTGCCGACACCTGACACTGTGATTTCTTGCCTTGTTAAAGTGTGGAGTCCTGCAGTGTAGCGGTTAAAACACTCGCCTCACAAGCGAGAGGACCCGGGTTCGATTCCCGGGCAGGGCGATAACTTAGGCAAGTTTCCTCACTCCGCACCCCTCTGTTGACCTACCAGTAAGTAGGAACCCGGTGGATAGTCTGTTGGCGGATCGCATTCCGCGGGTAATGATCTTTTTGGGAAAGTGAATAAATAAAATAATAATTATTTGGTCACGCAATCCTGTTTGTGTGACGCTGCTGTGGGGAATTGGCTGCCGCGTTTCGCCCACACAAACACAGAGTCAGTTCACTTTACAATATATTCTGTGAAGCGCATTGGAATGTCTCGAAGACGTGATAAGACACTGTAACAAATGCAAGCATTATTATTACTAATAAATATATGTGTATCTATAACTGCTCACACACTATTCAATCCACTGTCTGGATCCCGCAGCCTCACATTGAGGAAACTCGCTCCAACAACAACAACAACTTCCCTTTGTATAGCGCCCTTCACGTGGAGTAGTGTCCCAGAGCGCTTTACCCCAATAAACGTTTCCATAAACACCTGTCGAAGAGACGAGGCTCTCTCTCTCTCTCTCTCCTGCAGTTGAGTTCATGCACTCGGCCAATCTCACACGGGGAAGGAAAGGCCTTGGTTCAATCCCCAGTCTATGCTGGGTTTGCTGATCTCAGCCAAGGCAGCAGGTGGCATCATTAGGATAGCGTGGCTGGCAGGGAATAAATAAAGCTTTGAAGCAAACGCAACATTTAGATATGTATCTATGATATCTTTCGCCCACGAAAATGACACAGTCAATTCACTTTACACTATTAGACCTTCTGCGAAGTGGTTTGAGACGTCTCGAAGACGTGAACAGGCGCTCTGTCAAATACAAGGATTATTCTTATCATTATTTATAATACTTGGTGTGTGTGTGTGTGCGCGCGCGTGTGTGTATGTATGTATGCATGTGTGTGTGTGTGTGGTGTGTGTAACCCACATAGTCTCACCACACGCTGAACCCAGAGAAACGCACGGATGAGAACACACCAAAATCAAAGGGGGAAGAATAAAGTATGACACGTTTACGATAGACGTTGCGCAACACAAACTTGGCATCTCCTGGACGTCCAATATCACACTGACCTCGAGGCTTGCATTGCTACACACAAAGCACCAACTGTCGTAGTCAACTGAAATACCACTAAACTGTAACTTTCTTCAAGTTGTGACTTGAGAATGTTTAATGGACGTTGGTAAGCCTTTGGTACTTGAACTTCAAAGGTGCTTTTGTCTGGACTTTGTTGGAGAGAGGCAGAAACCAGTTCCAACAACCAAAGGCTTGACGATTGACTTCGGGGTCACACTGCTCTGGACAGCTTCGTGTTTCAGCCTCAATTTTTTGGCAAATAGAGACAAACATTCAAGAGCAGGAAACATTCATAAGCAAAGTCTTTATGGAAAAAAAACTTTTTGTTCTCCTCCTACCCCTCTACTTCGTTTGCTCCCCGCCACTCCAACCCCTCCCCCAAACCTCCCCCTTACCACCATCAGCGTCCGAGCTATCCATTCCTCTAGACTCCTACCCTCATCTCCTCCATCTCGCTCTCTCTCTATCTGATTAAAACTTTCCTCTTCAACTATAACTAGAGCCATCTGCCCTTTCCACCCTCCCGGCTGCTTCCCTAACACCATAAAGCCTTCCGAGATGTTATTCTCCATCAAAGGCGCTGTATAAATGCATGCTGTTGTAGATGGATCCCTTGTACCAGAGGGAAACGTTGTCCGCTATTCAGCCTGTCAATTCTTTTCATTATTTTAAACACTTCAATCAAATCACCCCTTCATTTCTGGAACCCACTCACTGCCTCAATTCCCCGTCCTTGCCCCCTCTTTACCTATCTTCAGATCACACCCAAAGATCTTTCCTCTTCAACCCGTGCCTACGGTCACCTGCCCTTTCTCCTCGGCTAGACATCAAACTAGGCTTGTCTCCAGTGTTCCGAGACGCTACTCCGTGTGAAGAACGCTGTACTGTCGTTGTTAATCTCCTCTGCGCTGAGGAACACACCCCAAGTCTAACCAACCTCGCATCAGAGATAATCTCCCTGGAGGATTCCAGGTATAGTCCCACCCTAAACATACTCAGAATTCCTAAGGTTTTCCCATCATACACCTTTCTGGACAGAATATTACCATCCGGCTCTCAGTGCCAAAGACAATAAGGCCCACACGCCCAATTTGTGTCCGAGCGACAGACTAAGTCGAGCAAAATAGCTCTCTGCATCTCATTCTCTTAGCAAAGGCCACATTTCCACAAGAAGAATAAATGAAAACTGTCAAAAGCAACAGGAGAATCCACCAGAGAGCATTTCACACCCTTTCTGTCTGAGAAGACATAGGATGAAGAAGGGAGGGAGGGAAGGAAGAACAGTGTATCTTACTTTGGGATTGAGGTCCTACCTGGAATGATGGAGATGGTATCTTTCTCCCACGACACAACCCTGACATACTCTTGCACCGAAGAAGGAATGAGGCACTTGAACACAGCGACACTTCCACGCATTGACCGCTGATCCTCCACCCGCACGGTGTAGGGTTCCCTGAAAACTGAGGCAAAAGGCAAAGAGGCGTCATCAGAAGGTAAGAACAGCATCTGCTTCATGTCCTCCACCCTATTTGGGTGGGGGATTGAAGGTTAACACACAAGGAAACCCATCACCGTTGCTTAAGAGTGTCCAAACCAAGCTGAGAATTCCAGACATCCCAACCTACACATAAAAATCCCAGGGATGGATTGTTGGAATGGAATTGTCCTGAGGGACACATCCTGCTTACCTAACTCTAGAAATTATTAGACGCAGGTTGGCAAGAACCAAGGGAGCCCAGAGTGTGCGTTGGTGTAACTGCTGGAGTCTAACCAGCTAATGAAATCACATAGCCTGCCATTGATATCACTTGTCCAGCTAGGACCACCCTACCCATTAGGGCTGTGGCTTGCAGGGTTAACAGGAGCTGAGTGGGAGGATTCCCTGCCCCCAGTGACTGGTCAGCCCTTCCAAGACATGCTGATGAGCCGGGCCGGGCTGATTATCAATTCACCCCAGCATCTGTGGGCTAGCGTTCGGCCATCCTGTCTCCTAGCCAAGGTGACTGAGAGAAACTCAGCCCAAGTATCTTGTCTGGTATCATAGTGAAGCTCATTTTGGAACCATAATTATCTCTACCATATATTACATACACACGAGGCTCAAAATCTCCTAAACCCATTCTAGAAATCCCAAATGATTTACAAAGCCGCCATTACCACCTCGCTACTGTTCTCAACAGCAAGTGCTGTGGTTTTAGCTGGTTATATTCCGGCGGTTACTCCCATCGCAAACTCTCCCCCCAACCCCCGAAGCCTCGGCTCTTGTCAACCTGCCCCTAATACTCTCCCAGGATTAGTTAAGCGAGCACTCTTTCCATTCCAGTCACGGGAATCTCCCTGGATAGGTGACGTGAGCGGAACTCTCTGTCTGGATTTGGACACTCTTTTTTTCACACAAAGGACTGTGGAAATCTGGAACTCTCTCTCTCTCGTTCTCCCCCAAAAGGCTGTGGACGCTGGATCCATTCAAACTTTCCAGGCTGAGATGGACAGATTTTGTTGGGTCAGGGTATCGAGGGATATGGGGCAAAGGCCCAATTAACAAAGGTAATTGGAGTCGAGGTACAGATCACCCATGAGCTTGAATGGTGGAACAGGCTCGAGGGGCTGAATGGCCTCCTCCTGTTCCTACGTTCCTAAGCACTGTCGTGGGTTTCTGCCTGCGTGTGTGTGTCAGACCCACATCTACCTCCTCCCTAAAAAGTCATCACCTCAGCCTCACACGGACCCTTTGATACTGATACACTGCGGTGATGAGGGCATTTGGTTATCCTTTCAGTCTTCAATCAACGTCCTCTCTAAACCAGTTCCAACTGTCATTAGAAAGGATTTCATTTTTATTGAGACTAAAGTGCATATATTATAGGCGGTGGAGAGCAGTAATAAGGCTATAATTAAACAAAGGGATAGATAACATCCATAACCCATTTGACTTTGCAAGTCGCGAGCGCAAGGTCATGTGAACCCCTGGAGTAAAAGGCAGATTAATTACTGCTTCCCATTCAGATGGAATCCTTTATCACGCGATTATATTTTTGGTGCTTATTAAGCCTGAGGGATGGGGGCAGCCCCAATGGTGTAGGAGTTACAGCTGTAATAAAACAATATGTAAGCCTTGCATTTGATATAGCGCCTTATCACGTCTTTGAGACGTCTTAAAGCGCTTCACAGGATATACTGTAAAGTGTATTAACTGTGTGCTTTGTGGCCGAAACTGGATAGCCATTTGCACCCAGCACTGTCCCAGTTCTGGATTGACTGACCAAATCATTACTATTTTTATTTATTTTACGAAGGGATTATTACTCCCGGAAAAGTGATCAGCCAATCAACTAACAACCGGGTACCTACTAACTGCAAGGTAACAGAGGGGTGCAGAGTAAGGAAACGTGCCTACGGTTTTGCCCTGCCGGGAATCAAACCCGGATCCTCTCACTTTGTGAGGCGAGTACTCTGACCACTGATTATGGACCGGGAGCTCAATGGTTCGAATCCCAAAGTGGTAGAATTGGAGAATTGCATCGGAGAGGTGAAATTAGCTTTCGTCCTTCCCAGGGTTAGAGAGGGCGAAATCAGCCTGGCTTCCTGCTCCCGATTCCTCTACAGCTCCCCCCGTAACATTCCATCAACGTCCTTTCCTCGTGGTTTTCCTTGCAGTGTAGTGGTGACCCTGCTCACCTCACAGGCGACAGAATGTGGGTTTAATACTTATTATTAGCAGCAAGATCAAAGAAGAAGTGAAGGCCTGGGAGGGAAATAGTAACTTGTATAGGGAGACGTCTCACCTGCTTTGACCCGGATATTCGGGCTCCTGATTTTTCCGGCTATGTTTTCAGCCGTACAGAAATAGTCATTGTTGTGAATAAAGCTATTGAACCCCGACGGGGAGAAGGGGTAGAGCTGTAAAGTGCCGTTGGGGTGGACGTGACGGATGTTAGGCACGTCGTAGATGTCGTCCTTGGTGGCCAGGTACCAGCGCAGGACGGTGCCCGGGGGTCCTGCTGCGGGGCACGGCAACACCGTGCCCACCGAACTGGAGAAGATCACCTGCTGCAACGCGTCCGTCACAAAGTACAAGCTGGTTCGAGGGTTTTCACTGTGTGCTGCAGAGACGGGAGCAGGACAGAGAGAGAGAGAGAGAGACGAGGTTAGTCAACCAGCAAAGAGACAACGGCAACAACAACTTGCATTTATTTATATAGCGCCACTCACGCAGGGAGCGTCTCGGGAGTACTTGACCAAAGAACCGTAGACACTTACAGCTCTGTATCAAAGGATTATTATTATCCTCTCAGGTCCATTTAACAGCCCCGCACCCCCCCCACCCCCCCCGCCCCGCTCTGCCCTGCACCCCCACCGGAGGTCAATATTATGGATTCCACCACAACCAGAATATGGAGTCCTGTAGCTCAGTGGTTAGAGCCCTCGCCTCCCAAGCGAAAGGACCTGGGTTCGATTCCCGGGCAGCGCGAAGCCTTAGGCAAGTTTCCTTACAATAAGTAGGAACCCCGCAGTTAGTCGATTGGCGGATCGCTTTACGGGGGTAACAATCCCTTCCAAAGAATGTGGTCACTCAATCCACGGCTGTTTGTGGGGACGCTGCTGTGTGTAATTGGCTGCCGCGTTTCGCCCACACAGTCACTCCACTTTGCAGTATATTCTGTGAAGCGCTTTGAGACGTCTCAACGATGTGATGGGACGCTGTATCAGTGCTACCGACTGAGCCCGCCTGGCGCCTTAGTGTTAATTGTTCGATATTATTTCCCTTTGCGACCGAGAGATTCAGTGGCAATGCTGTGCCCAGCGACCACAGATCAGCTGGATTCATTCATTTATTTAGTCAGTTATTTATATTCCAGCTTCCGATGGGTGAAGCTGCTCTGGAATCACACACTGGCTGATCGGGAGCTGCAGCTGTTGGGGGGTGGGGGGGGGGGGCCTGGCTGTGTGATCGCTAGAGAAAGCAATTGCTTTGTTCCCTCAACGCTCCGATTGAACCGTTCCTTTCTAAGCCAAACCCCTCCTCAGTCACACATTGGAAGCCACACAACCGTCGAATTCAGGGCTCCTTAAAGGATCTTTGTTGTTGTAGCGGTGGGGGCTGGTGGGGGGGGAGAGGGAGGGAAGGGAAGGGAATGCGGGAGTTTTGTAGATTCACGTCCAACACCATTAAGCCTCTATGCTTCTCTTTCTCTCTCCCCAACACTGGAGATGCAATCGGGAAAGCTGCCAATATGGAGTAGTTCCACACCGTTTCCATCTACAACAGAAGGCCTTTTCAGAGGGAAAAAGTACTCCCTCAATGTGCGGCTTCTGTGTTGCGAGAACTCTCTGCGACGCATAACAACATCCCTCTGCCCCACCTCCACCACCCCCAGCGTCAGCCCCCCCGAGCTTCACAACAGCTCGGTTGGTAAAACGCTCCTGCCTCGGAGTCAGAAGGTCGAGCCCATAAGACCGTAAGAATTTTCGGGACCAAAGAAGACCGCCTTCCACCATCCTGGCCCTCGCTTGACAAGTCGTGCACCCAAACTCGATCCTGTATCCCCCAGATATTATTTCCTAACAGAAATCGATCTCATTTGTCCTTGAAAGAATCGACGCTTTCTGCTTCCATCGTCCATCTCCCGAAGGAACCTGTTTCCACACGTTTACTCCCCACTCACTGAAAGTGTTTGCGTAGATTCATTCTGGGTTTAACCCCCACCCCCTACTTCCTTCAATCGCAGGCCTTGTCCTCTGGTTCTACTCTGCTGGACTTGATAAAGCAGCTTATCGTGGCCTTCTACATTATCTAATCCCTTTAGAATCTTAAAGGTAATCGTAATCGCTCCTCAACCTTCTCGGCGGCAGCGAAGGGGTTACAAAAACACACGCACCAAAGAAAAAAACAAGTCACAAAATAGCAGCCAGCAAATGCAAATGCACCCAACATGAGCCCACTGTGGACTAATGGGTTTGTAATATTAATGTAAGGCTCCCAAATAGCTTTTGTGTGACAGAACCCTTTAATCCTTTGCCTCTACATTTGCCAGAATGTGTTGTATTAATGCCTCATAAAATTGCTCAGAAAAAGCTATAAAAGCTCACTCGCAAAAGATTAGAGTTTTCCTCTTGTTCCCCCCACTGGCCCTCTCTCTCTCTTTCTCCCCACCTCCCCTCCTCTCTGCCTTATCCCTCTCTCTCTCTCTCTCTCTCTTTTCACCTTCGAAGCCTACATCTGTTTATCTGTCAATCAACGCACTAACCTCTCCTCCCAGCTCCCAAATGCATCCAGATTTTCACCCAAAGCTTTTCGGCCACAAAATATACAGTCACTACACTTTACAGTACATCCTGTGAAGTGCTTCGAGACCTCTCAGATAAGGCGCTATATCAAATGCAAAGATTATGATTATTAATAAAGTGAAAGGTGCTACAGAATAAATAACACTGTGTAAATAATCCTGGATGCGCCT